GGGGGGGGGGACATCCAAGAAGAGGGAAGAAGAAAGTCAGTGCAGGGTGGGAGGGGCCTAGACAGACAGTAAACCCCCTGAAAGGGCAGGGCTCATACAGGAGAGAAGCAGGAGGGGCAGGAGGCAGCTTCTGTGCAGGGACTGTTTTGGAGGCAGCTCTGATTTCCCCTGGGGATTTCTCTGTTGTGATTCTAGAAATTTCCAGCTTCCTGGACAGCCTTCTGTGTGAGCCCCCAGGCCTCCTTCCCATCTCTTCACCTGGAGAGGGGTCCCTAGGAATGTCCCTCCACAGCATCCATGGCGATTCGCCTTGCTCCAACTGGGAGATCACATCAGGTTTGAAATCCTGGTACCCTGCCCGAGAAAGATAAGATGTACAGGTGTTGGGGCCAGTGACAAGTGTGTGCCCAGGGCCCTGCCCCCTTTTCCCTGTCTTCAGGACCTTTGCAGCATGAAAGATGGGTGACGCCAGGGTGGGGGTGGGGGCAGCCTCAGCCTCTTGCTTCCTACCACGCAGAGGATACACAGTAGAAATGCCCTGGGTCCGTGTCCTCTGAACATCAAAATATGGCTCCATGGTTCAGAGGCCTCAGGTCTGGATAGAGAAGAGAGAACACACTCCTCATCCACGAACTCATATTGGCAGAGTTGGTGCACACAGGCCTTCAAGGATCGTTAGTAGACTGTGCCTCTGAGAGTCCAAAACCCCTTTCTAGTCTCTGTTGCATCTTTTAAAATCATACATATTGTCATTATAATCTACTATATCTGTGTTTATTTAATATAAAAAAATCACTTATCATTTAAATTACTTGATATCTCCCCTCTTCCCATCAGCTAGGCAGACAACCTGAGAAGATGACAACTGTGTCCCCTGTCCTTCCCAGGGTGCTGCCTGGTGCTGCCCCCCAGGCCAGTGCAGATGGTGGGCCACTCTTAACCAGGGAAGCCAGGCTCCTATAGTTCTTCAGCATGACCTCTTGGTACAGTGCCCTCTGAGTGGTGCCCAGATGCTCCCACTCCTCCTGGGTGAATTCTACAGCCACGTCCTGGAATGCCACTGGGTCATGAGGTGTTACACATGGAAGTGTTAGGCAGTGGGAATGCCATGCTCAGCATATCACAGAGTGCAGCATCCCGCAGGCAGAGGAAGATATATACACACAAACCACTGGCTTATATTGTGCTGAACACCACACGTTTAGTGAGTCTGGTTCAAGCAAGAGCAAGACACCAACACTGAGTCTACGACGATACTCTCCTAGAAGTTCTAGTCTGTGCAGTAAGAAATTCCAGGAGAGTAATGACAGCTAGACAGTTGTGAGAATTGCTGGACTATAAGGTCAGGGGAAAAACAGCAAATTGTAGACGAATCCATGGAATATGCATTTATTCAGTGTTACAGACTGAATTGTGTCCCTTCCTCCCAAGTCATATGTGGAAGTCCCAACCCACAATGTGACTATTTGTAGATGGGGCCTTTAAGGGGACAATTCAGGTTAAATGAGGTCATAAGGCTGGGGCCCTAAACCGATGGGTCCTTGTAAGAAGAGGAAGAGACACTGGGAGTGTATGCACACAGAGGAAAAGCCATGTGGGGGCACGAGAAGAAGGGGGCCATCTACAAGCCAGGAAGAGAGATTTCACCATAACCCAGCCCTGATGGCATCTTGATCTTGGACCTCCAGCCTCCAGAACTGCAAGAAAATGAATTTCTGTTGTTTAAGCTGCACAGTTGGTGATACTTTGTTATGGCAGCTCTGGCAGATTAACAGAGTTGAAACATGTGCATTGAGCAGTCTACTGTTTAGGGACATATGTGGTAGGACCATAAAGAAGATCAAAAAAAGATTCCTAGAAATTCCAGGGTAGAAATTATATTTGAAGGAGGAGGGAGAGGGATGTTGTTTTTAAGATGAAGCGATAGATAAAGAGGAAGTATGTCTATTAAATTATTTGGAACAGGACAAGTTACCGAAGAAAGGCTGGTCAGGGCACAGCACACGAGAGGGGACTTTGTGCTGTGATGTGCAGAACGATGCCAAAGGACAGCTTGTTTGTGGCTCTGCACCTCAACTGTGTGGGTCTTCCTTCTTACTCTTCCATCTGCATGCAGCACCCTCTCCTGGCCTCCTGCTCAGACCCCTGGGCCCTCCCCATTTCTCTCCTCCTTGAATAACTGGGGTCCACAGTCCTCTGTCCTGCACTCACCCAGATCCCTTTCTTCCCCTCCCTGGGGTCTCCCTGTGCTCATCCACTCCTGGGACCTCAGGACCATTTCCTCCCCCCAACTCCCAGTGTGGGCTTTCAGGTCTGAATACTTGAGTTGTCAGAACAGAGTGAGAGGGAAAGAGGAGGTCAAGGGCAAAGCTGGGCTAAACAGCATCATTTTCACCACTGGAGGACATGCCCTATCCCAGAGAGGTAGAGACCCCACAGGCAGAAATTGCCCAGGTAATAGTGTGCTCATCACCACAGCTGGAGACCCCATGAGTGGTGGGGGGGTCTCTTCTCCATGAGACAAAGACTCCACAAGTGGTGGTGCCCACCTTGCCATGAATGGAGCCTCCTCACCAAAGCAGATCCACTGATGTTGCCCATGGCCTAAGGCAGCAGAAGCCAGGGGGCCAGACCAGGTGTGATGGCTGAGCCACATCATTGCAGGGCATCCTCACCAAAGTCATGAGGGGACAAAGCCTGAGAGATCTGACCAGGGTAGCAGCTACCTCAGCGCCCCAGTCACTGTAGTAGACACCCACATAATCCCAAAATGCACGAGGGCAAAGGGACAAAGACAGCTTGTTCACCAGCTGAGAACATGTCCCCCCAGGATAGTCAGACAATGGCTGAGTAAACACCACATTCTCCTTCATCTGGTTTAGTTCATCCAACAAGTACAAGTTGAAATGTAATCCCAGTAATGAGAATGAACTCAACTAAATACTTACAACTTTAAAATTTTGCAGATAATCAACTTAAGACTTTTTAAAGTTTATTTATTTGAGAGAGAGAGGGTGTGAGTGTGGGAGAGGCAGGGAGGGAGGGAGGGG